GGTTGACAAGGTGATCTGCTGAGCAGAATGTGGGACTAGAAGACTGAGGGAGCTGACGCCAGGCTTCACTCGGAGACTCGGGAACTGTCCATGATGAGCAAGCATGAAGCGACAGTGGAGAGGAAAAACTCCCGCTTGGGAAGAAACCTCTGGCAGAACCGGGCTCAACATGGTGGTCTTCTGCCGGACCAATGCGGTGAGACAGGGGATGGTGACAACTGGGATTAATACTCTCTGATGAGGTTGAGGTGAAGCCGAGTCATGGATGACGATTCAGCTGCGATGGCGGGGAAGGGGATGGAGGTGGGTGAATTGTCGTCTGAATCGAAGTCCGACATTGCGATTGCAGGATAGCGGCTGGGATGAAGATTTGGAGCGTTTATAAAGTGAGAGCAGGACGCTGATTGGGCTTGTGGTGGAGTAGTTCGAAGCTGAATGGCTCGCTTCGGAGACGGATTAGCTTCTGATTGGATGGAGGTAAGTCAGAGTTTCTTCAATTGAACTTCCGCTAGAGCTTCATTAGTAATCATATCGATAAAAAGGCCAAATGTAACTCTGATTAAAATGTATAATTTTGCGTAATTTGTTAAAAATTGCAATTTCATAAGTTATTTCTAAATAATATTTCCCCTTTAAAACAACCCCAGTAGTATTTGTTCAAAATTGGCACAGAAATGATCTAAGAGACGGAGAATAACCTTCCCCTTTTAATATAACAAACTTACTATGCTTTTTCATTTTTTAGAGCAACACTTTTTTCAGTTAACATATAGAACCGCACTGTCTGCAGTATTAAGATATGGTGAACCGAAGGACATTTTATTGAGATAATGCTTAGCTATCAGGGCAACTGAAGGGCCAGATTTTGCAACCACAGCTAGAAGCTCACAGGTAGGATTACTACCATTTATACAATACCCAGGCTATTTAACATAAACTATAGCTCAGGTAAAGGTCCTTCATCAAGACCCTGATAAAACGAATCTGAGTTAACATGTACCTTATGTTTTACTGAATAGCTGTAGTTGACATCAGTCCATTCTGAGTCAGCCTGCAATCTTCAGCCTGGGCTTTGTAGCTCTGCTTCCTTCTGTTCCTGTGCTCACTATAAAACCCCCGTTGACTATGAGGCTGTAGGAGCTGTTTCCTCTATGTTGTGGCCCTGTTCAAGGCACTTAGTGAAACTACAAGGCAGCCTGGGGATCTCATACTAAACAGTAGTACACTTCACCAGTCAGAAAACGTATCAAATAAATGAAGAAAGGAAGTAGAATCATCATGGTCTTATCTTCAGGTAACACAGAGTACATGTCAGATTAAATAATAAAACTTCAGTGATAGTTTCAAGGTGTAACTTTATTGTATGTCTGGTACCATGTCTGTTGGTTGTGCTGTTCTTTTTACATCTCGTTGCAGGTGATGAAGCAGACTGAAAATGTTTTATCATTATCTCCCTTCTATCTCCTCTTTCTTTCATCTTTTCTCCTTTTTTTCTGTTTTTCCTCTTCTGTTCTATTTACATTGCAGTGTCCATATAATCTGTAAAACTCCCTGCATAATTATAATAAAGCTATTTATATGCATGAAACAAGCGGGAACACTATGGCAATAGCCCTACTGCTCCACTTGTGAAAGTAAAATCTGTTTGGCATCAAGACAATTATTCTTATTGCCACATTGCCAGACAGGATACTGTTGGAAAAAAACAAAACAAAAAGAAACCTCATGGTGTGGAAATGCTTTTGTTTCTTTTTGCAATGTGGTGATAGTGACTTACTCTGTAGCTAAAGGGATTTTAACAAGACAAGGATCCTAAATACACAGTGAAGAAACTCTGGTTTCAGAGACAAATTAAATCACTTTACCTGAATCATAGCAATATGTTCTTACTATTTAACTTTACAAGCTAAAAAAAAAAATCATGGTTTCTAGAAGAAAAAAACAAAACAAATAAATAATAAACTAATCAAATCTTACAACAGATTCAGCTTTTGACAAATTAATTTCAAATTGTAAAATGTTATTGTATAAAATAATTTTAATATTTATGTATACTTAGAAAATCTTTAGCTCTGAACATTACACAATGTTATTCAATTAGCACAATTGTTAGTATTTTTAATTGTACTTTTGAAGATATATCTTCAGGGCTAAAGGATTATTAAAAAGAGGTCTGATTCCGTGAAATAAGAACTTTCTGGAGTTTTGTCAGTTTTTCTTTTTTTTTTTATCTCTCTTCTTCTTTTTTTTTTAACTGAAGTTAACTGCAGTTCCTTTTTAGACTGCCGCAATATTTTACACGTCAATTCATCACTATTACTATAAATTGGTATTAGAACAAATATTCTGGAAAAAAAACTGATCTGTGTTAATTTAATCTTTGTTTAAAATGAGGCATTAAAATATAATAAATGTGTAATTATGTGAATGCTTGTTTTTCACTGTTTAGAATGAATCAGGATTGTTTTAATGCTAAGATACAAATCTATTGAAATAGCTTTGTTTGGCAAAAAACTCAAATGAACTAATGTCACCAAACAGTAATACTGTCCTAGGCTTAACTTTATTAAATGTTTTTGTTTTTTTTAAGTTGCTTTCTTAGTTCCAATTTTACATAAATAATTTTTGATATATCCCTGAGAGGCATCCAGACTGTTGACACGTGTTAGGTGTGTTGTCGGTTAAGGGACAACTAGACAATTCTTTTTATAACATAAGCTAATTTCTTCTATTTAGTTTTTAACTGTGCAATCAAATCAAATCACTAAATACAGACATACCTTCTTTTGATTTGACTATAGGATGAATATCAGACGCTTTTACGTAAACATCTTCAGTTGGACATTTCAGTTGTTCGTAATGGTCTGGTTCTGCTTCCTCTAAAGACAAAAATACAGACACATCTGGAGCTTACTTCCAAATGTTCACCACACCATTCATTTCAACACCTGAACAATGTCTCGATTAATAACTAGAAACCTTGCTCACCTTTAGTTATCACCTCCAGCATCGGCTCACCTGCTCCATCCTCTGCATGGACTCTTGGGCTCTCCGTCGGGATCTCTTGCATCTCCATGACAGCCTCTCTACTAATTCCCTAACTTTCGATTTACTCAGAAGGTCTATGGTCAGCTAACAATGAAGGTTATGTAACTTTTTCAGGGTGCTGACACAAATGCAGATGACACCATGTTGCAAATAACTTGATATCAAGATCTGATATAGTGAAAGAAAAATAGTTCCTTATGTCCAGTGTGACTAAGTTGTATGAAGACGCCACTTCCCCTTAGAAAGAGTTTCTTTTTGTTTTATTCAGCCCTTCCCCTAGACCAAAGGCATGACTGTGCTTCACTTGTAGGCTTCAATTAAAATGTGTGATGATGTGCTGGATTTTCTTTTCAGATGAGAAAAATTACATTCATATGCTTTTATTAATTCCTTAGCCCCCCACAAAAAAAAATTTCATTTCAATTCATCATATTTCTTTTTCTGATAACAAAATGTAAAATTTTCATTGGTGAAAAAAAAAATATTTTGGTTTAATACTTGCAAAACACTGCATAGAAAAAACTGCAGGTAACCTTGAAAACCCTTTGCGTACTGTGATGTATTGTGGTGTCTGCATCAGGCTGTGGGGGTTGTTTTCGACTGCAAATATGGAACAAGCTGTTAATGGTTAGTGGGATAGGAAGCTGAATCTGGAAAAATAAATACATAAGAATATCCTTGAGGAAAAGCTGTTCAGGAAGCTCAAAACAACTTTGTATTGGAACTGAGGTTTACTGAACTGAGCAGCCAGCCAACTAGAATGTGTTAGAATTGGCCAAAGTCTGGTAATCTAATGGCCATCTAACTATTCATTTTTGGTGAGAACTTGAGGTTCAATGATTCTCTTCATGCAAAATGAATGAGTCTGAAATATTTTGTAAAGAATCGTTAAATATTTGATATTGATTTGTAGATTCCTGTTGTCCTACTTGCACTAAATTATGTTCCTCAAAGGTAATGTCGATGTTCTTTAAGAAAAAAAAATGCATGCCACTTTTGAATATGTATAAACTAATCTAAAAATGTATTTATTTCCTTATGCACAATTGTATACTAGTTCTGAGAAATGAGTTATTGCAACATGACACTGAAAGTTCAAATGGAATGTGTTTACAATGCACTGAAGCACGATTGAAACAGACAGAAACTGATTAGAATTTTTTTGTTTTCTTTATTTTACGCAAAGAAAATTGTGATATTTACAAAAAAAAACAATACTATTTGCATTAAATACAGATGTCTTAGAAAGAAAATGAGAGCTTTCTCTCCATAGTTTTGATAACTCTTTTCATGTTTTCTTTTTATTTTAAAACCCATCCCATTGTGAAAGAAATCCGCATTAACTTTGAAGTGCTGATAAATGCATCAAGCTCAGCTTGAAATACTGCCAAAAAAAAAAATAGAACTTGAGACCCATTTTTTACCCTTTAAAAAGTCCTTCTTCCAACTTAAACTGCAAATACTTGTCAAAGCTACTATTCAGAAGTGGCGCAGGTCTCAAATATTTGTCAAATCTTCGTTCCAGTCTCAGTTCATCTACTCTCATTCTCCCTCTGGGTTCTTTTTCAGTCTTTTGTTTTGCTTTAAGCACCATACACGCTCTCATTGCTGTAAGTCATGTAGAGAAAAAGGTCCTCTTCATGGTGCTCCTGCAAAACAAGCACAGAATGGATCAGTATTAGCTTACAAACTGGACAACTGTGAGCCCTGGTTAAGTTTTTACAAAAGCAGAATCAGAAACAACTTTAAGTGCATTAAAAGGAGGATAATAGGAATAAAACCTCGATTTGGTTTGAGTTACCTCGTATACAGTTGAGAGAGGACAGCTGGATGGAGGGAGAGAGTTGTTAACGAAGAAGAAGAGCGCCTCCTCTGGTCTCAAAGACATACGCTGACGAATCAGAAAGCACAACTGGCCCACTAAAAAAGAAAGAAAGAAAAGCAGAAGGAAACAATCAGTAAGACAGTCAGCGAAGGTCATAAATATATTTTGCATTTGACTGGGAGGAAGTGAAAATAAAGGAAGACATTGCTCTTGCATTCAAACACTTGTAGTTTGTGTTGTCTGTGCTGCTATCACCTGTTAAATCTGAGGGTACGAGGTACTTCTTCTTGTCGAGCTCCGGAGCGCGTGACCTCGAGGCCCTCTCCACAATGATCTGAAAATTAATGGTTTAAATTAAATAAACAAGTAGATTTACATTCTTTACTTCAAAGATTATGAAAATCACATTTTTAAATTGACATCGTCTATCACATCCAAAGGCGATTTTAAAAAAAGAAAAAAGCTCTAGTTTTATTTACCGGTATCTTGTCAGGATGCTTGGCCCGAACTCTTTCTCCCTCCGCTCTCCTCACCTCCAGTGGGACAGAGCGCTGATACTGACTGCCCATCTGAAACACAGGACAGCCACACATGTAGTCCACAACGATGGCTTTATTTACAAATCAGACAAGAGAGGAAGAGCTCTGTCTGACCCCAACCAGGGTACTCTGTTTGTGAATGATGTCAGGCAGAAGAGAAAGTTATTGTTAGAGAAGATGGGGCTATTTTAATAACACTCTATGAAGAGGTTATTTACAATGCAATACTATAGAAATAACAACATAGGATAGTCATGTTGTAATGACAGCTGAACTGTAATGTGATATTACTTTTATTAAATTCATAACTAAACTTCCATCAAATGCATAACAATTGGAAAAATGTTGTATTTACACAGGTCACTTATAATAACAAAACGTGCTTTGTGGGTGCGGATCTTCATTTCCATATTAGAGTCACATTAAGTTTACTCTCATCGGAGATATGCATTCAAAAAGATCACACCCTATTAAAAAAATCAACACTGTATTTTCATGATTGCAGTACATTAACTTGATACTTTTTAAGGTTGATTGGTACCAAATTTTGTCTAAATTAAAGCAAAGCTAAAGCAATAACTAAGAATCAGCACAAAAAAAAAACAATTAACCTGTTTCAGTGTATACAGCAGTACAGTAAGTTTCTTTAAGCAAATATTTGTTAAGTTATGACAAATTGTCAAACAAGGATTTATTTATCTTTTTTTGCTAAGCTATGCATCTTATATAGTCATGGATTTAACCTGCTGGTTAAAAAAAAACAAAACAAAAAACAAAACAACAATAGCGGGGCTATCCTTTATTTAAAAAATATATACCCCAAACTGTTCGTAAAAAAATAAATAAAAAACATTTTTTCATCAGAAAAGGTTGGACTGCAAAATGTGTCATCTGCTGTGTGAGACTCTTTAACACAAGGGACTATTATGTATTTAGATTTATATAAAAGAAGCAATTATATGATTTCCATTGATATCTTCCAGCATGTCTCACATCTTGACATGTTAGAATCTATAAACCAATGGCCCCAAACAAATATCAGAAGCCAAATAGGTGACTTAACAATTTCACACAAAGTATGTAGTACCATGGTGTACAATTAAATTAAGCTTGATGTAACACCATTAAATTTTAATTAACATGTATATCAAATGCTTGATTAAACAACAAAGCTAAACTGATATATGCTGTGGTAAATAAAGACCATTCAAATCCTTTTTCTTGTGTATAAATGTCGTCTTATAGCTGCAAGCCTGGGATATTTCACTTATAAAATTATAATAAGCTGAAGACATACCACGAAAAATTATCTTGAACTTTTTATTAAATACAACTGATTATGAATACTGTGGGGGTGTGGTGGCCAAGTGGTTAGGGCTTAGAGCTTGGAATCCTGAGGTCCTGAGTTCGAGCCCCTTTCCCACAGACTGCCACTCTGGGTCCCTGAGCAAGACCCTTAACCCCACACTGCTCCCCAGGCGGCCCACGATGGCAGCCCACTGCTGTCAGAGATGATGAGTTAGATGCAGGGGTAAATTTCTCCAATGTGAGAACAATAGTTCAATTATTATTATTACTAATAATAAACCAAAAACCACCAGCTTGCTGGTTGTAGATATAATTTACTGTAGTTGCATAATATTTTCTACTATCAAAATTTGACTGAAATATAAAGTTAATTCAAATAATCGGTTGTCAGATAAAGCTCGAAACGTCCCTCTGGGACAAATTTAACCATTGCCATTAAGGTGCGAAATGACCAACACTCCATACGTGGGTACGAAACGGATTAGCCTAAACCTAAGCTAAAAATCCACATTTAAAGCAGGATGGGAAGGTGGTAGGAGGAAAAGGCCGAAGTTACCCTCCGCCCAAAACATAACAAAAGAAATAACCCCAGCAGATCTAAACGCGTGCATTTCCCATCCAGCTCATAAGGGTCAAAGTGGCTCCTTAGAACTGGGGCACAGGCTGTTGTGGGGAGGAGGAAGCTAGATTTTTGTTTCCCGGAGATGATCGTACACTGACGCCACGTCACTCCTAACAACAACAATGAAATCAGATAGCTTGCTCTTTTCCTGAGGTTGACCTACCTACAAATTCCCTGTTAAATATGTACTTATATGCATTTATCCTCACAAACCAGTTTCAGGTTGATCTGATAGACAGATTCTCGTTGAAGGTTGCAAATGTTTAAGTTCGTGGTGCTAGCTAGCAGCTACGACCGTAGATAATTCACAAAAATTACAGCTCACGTACCTTTAAGAGCAAAACAACAGCAAAAAAGAAGAATAACTAAAAATTCAAATAAACTTTGGAGTTCCTTTGTGTAGTGAAGTCGCTCAACGCAGCGGCATTGACTTTATAAGCCACCAAAATGTCACAACATGATACCCAAAACCTTTCTTCAAAGATGTCGACTGCTCTTCTCGGCAGAACAAAAACAACATATCAATGCCCGCCTCTTGGGATAAAAACAGCCAATCACACAAGGGGTAAATGATTGACAGCAAAAGGTCCTGTTAGAGTAAAGATGTGTGTGGAATCCTGTGCATTGATTGGTTAAACAGGTCCGCTTGTTTCTTGCAGCTACGGCCTGTTTTCCTTAACAGACAGGAAGGAGGACCAGTAGCGGATCCAAGTAAATTCACTGCCGTTTATTAGGCGAGCTACGTGCGTGGCGTGTACATTTGTCTCCTTTTTTTTTTTATTATATGAACTGTTTACAGTTTGTTCTGAACACACAGGCCCTACAGACAACACCCTGTCAAAGTTGAATGTAAATACGGCTGTTTTGCACGTTTTCTACCCTATGCTGATGAAGGTTCTCAGTCATCCAGGTCATAGTCATTCCGTAAAAATTCAAAAAATATCCACTGGACTTGGTTTCCAAGATTTGAAGACGTTTCGCCACCTCTTCAGGAAGCTTTCTCAATTCAAATGTCTGGATACCCTACATACATTGTGTTTGGGTTTTATTAGGAAAATGCGACGCTAAAGGAAAACAATACATGAAGAGCAACAAAAACCAATACCCTCTTAAAAAAAAGTCATGCATTGTCTGACAGCCCAATATAAAACACTACTGTTTTTTTTATAGGTGTCCTTATTGCTAATAAATCCCACCTGTGTGTGATATAATCCCTTTATTCTTACAAATATTCTTTGAAGGCCTTTGAATTTATTGCAGATATTAATAAACACCATTAAGACAAAGAATAAACAGCAGATAGAATGTAAAGTATAAATGTTTGAAGCAAGTACAGGCTTTAAAACGACACAGTAAGATTTAAACCTCTATACAAGTAATGGCCATCCAATCATTAAACTGAAAGTTTAGAAAAGAAGAAGATTTATAAATAAAAAAACAAACAGACACAGAATAACTCTAAATGAGCTGTAAAGAAGTCATCAAATCTACAAATCTGCCATCCATTGAATTTTGGAAAGAAGAAAAAAGGTCATGGCCTCAGATAATGGACTTGTATCTCTACTTGTCCTGTTAGGTCTCAGCGCTGCATTTGATACAGTTGATCATAATATTCTTTTAGAAAGACTTTATATATATATATTGTAGGAATTAAAGGAACTGGTTAAAATCTTATCCATCTGATCTATTTCAGTTTGTTCACGTTAATGAGAAATCTTCCCCATGCTCCAGGGTTACCTGTGGAGTACCACAGGGGTCAGTGCTGGGACCAATTCTCTTTACTATATATATATATGCTCCCAATCGGTTGAGTTATTAGACAGCATGGGATTAATTTCCACTGTTATGCTGATGATACTCAGCTTTATATCTGTCTATAAATCCAGACAAAGCTAACCCATTACATAGATTACAGGCATGTCTTGAAGAGATAAAAACCTGGAGGACTCTTAATTTTCTGCTCCTGAATGCAAACAAAACACAAGTTATAGTCTTTTGGAACAGAGTCTTTAAAAAAGAAGCTGATAGCCAGTCACTTCATTTGGATGGGATTAAACTGATTTCAGACAATAAAGTAAAAAAACCTTGTTGTTATTTTTGATCAGGACCTGTCATTTAAATCCCATATCAAAGAGGTTTCTAGAACGTTCTTCTTTCATCTGCACAATATTGCAAAAATTAGAAATATCCTGTCCAGGGGTGATGCTGAGAAACTAGTCCATGCATTTGTTACTTCATGGCTACTTGTAATTCTTTACTATTAGGAAGTCCACAAACTGTAGTTAAAAGTCTTCTGCTGATCCAAAATGCTGCAGCCACAGTTATGATGAAAATTAAACAGAGAGATCATATCTCTCCTATCCTAGCTTCTCTTCTTTGGCTTCCTGTTAAATCCAGAATGGAATTTAAAATCCTCCTTCTGACATATAAAGCCTTAATTGGCCAAGCTCCATCTTATATCGGAGATATGATTGTTTCTTATGTTCCTAAATCCCAGCAAATGCAGCTTTATTTTCTGTAGACCTCTTCCACAAGGTTATGGGTTTGTAGTTGGATGAGAAAATCCGGATTTCAGCCTCTGTTCATGTTCATCACAAAGGTTTTCTATAAGGTTGAGGTCAGGACTATATGCAGGTCAGTTAGGTTTTTTCACACAAAGCTTTTATACAGATGTGGGCATGCAATTAATTTAAACATCCACATTTATTTTGGTTATTTGTAACCAAATATTTTTACCAATATAGTTTAAATAAGATATATAATCTGAGGTAAAAAATACAATATCTGTTTGGATACCATTCACCTGTTTCTTTAATAGTTGAAAAAAAGAACTGGCATTTTCAATATACATACACAGCTAGTGATGCTAAACCTTCAATACTTGCAGCCCTCAATACAGGATGTAGAAGTTAACCTTAAAGCACTTAATATAAATACAAGCTTTACCTTTCAGGCATCCTTTTATAGAAAATAAAAAGAAAACCTTTCAGCTGATTTCAATAGTTTTGAAAATACATCTATATATCATTAAAGAAAATAGGTGGTTTGACAGGGACTTGAAGGAACCCACCTATGTTAAGAGAGAAAAACCAACCTTAAACAGAGGTGGTGGACTCAGATTCCAGCTTCCAAAAATTTACAATTCAGTTATTGAGATGATTCCTTCCAGATATCACAACCCCCACCCCATCACAGAGGAACAAAGTACCTTCTCTCTTCAGCCAGGTGAACAATCCCTCCTTTAACGAACGGCCCTTCACAATCATAGACAGATTTCAGGTATTACAGGAGACAATCCCCCCTTTAACGACAATCCCCCCTTTAATGACCAAACTTTCAGAATCATAGACAGCTTTTAGATATTACAGGGTATCAATGGAACTAAACGACCCGCTAGTCGGTTTTCATTTGCATGTTTCCAAGCAATACAAGACCTTGTCTATATAAAGCCTCAAACTCACTGCGGATCCAGACATTTGAATTGATAAACCTTCCCGGAGGGGAAGCGAAACGTCTTCAAACCTTGGAAACCAAGTCCAGTTGATTGTTTTTTTAAACCTTTATGGAGCTTCTTATTGTCCATTTCAGTTTAAAACAAACAAGAATGAAGATCAAAATCAATGCATTTTTTAGGGATCAAATGTTTCTTTATTTCCTGAATTTATTGTAATGTTTTGTTCAAGCTCTGTACATAGTTTGTTATTAGAAATGCAGACCTGTCAGCTCTCATGCATACATGGAAAACAAAAGAAATAAACACTATTTTATTCTTTGGGTCATTATACACAATACCAAAATAATTCTTATGGAAAAGAACAATATTAAAACATGATATCTGTGTGCACTGGAAACCTCAATGCCAGCTGGGCACTTTGCATAGCAGTTTAAAGTAAAGTAATTGTGTGTATAAACCAGGAATTGCTATCAGGCCTGCTTTTATTATCATTATTCCACATAGTGAAACAAGCTAAGTCTAATTCTGCACTTTGATTAACTATTTTAACTTTTTCAGCCAATGCATTGTGCTGAATATGTATTGTCCGTTTTCAGTAGTAAGATGCACCATAGCTGAAAAATGTATTTTAAGGACATCACCAAGTTCACTGCCTCTCTGATCATAACACTCAGACAGCAGCTGTAGCCTTTGTCAGTGTGAGAGCATCTGACAGGTTGCGCTTCTTCACTTTGTCATTGCTTATCACTTTCAAGTGGGACTTGGGCACCCATCCACAATGGAGGTCCGACAGTTTGATCCCCTCCACCCAATCTATAAAGAAAAAAAAAAAATCCAAAGTGAACAAACTTTTCACTTAATCTTAACCTACAATTCTGTGATTCTGTGATTTAAGGTCCAGTACTTGCTTGAATAGAGAAGTGTATATAAATACAGTCATGAATTATCAGAAATTAAACATATCACCACCTGACCTGCAGAATCAGGAAATTGCATAAGTAGAACTTGTATGACACTTTGAAGTAGACAAAAAAATAATAATAATAAAGCAACACATCAAGAACAATCTTTAAAAATTGTTTATTGAATGGATAGTCAAGGTAAAGCAAGAGAGTCTGGCTAAAAAACCTGCACTGTCAGGGCCCCTCATTGCAGACCTGCAAAATGGAGTCTCCTGCACTGTCAGGGCCGTAAGTTTATTCCAGAAGCTGTATTCGAGGCCTTTAAGAATAGCACAAGTTTGCTGCTAGTTTAGAGTTTATGATAGTGTTAAACTGAGCATAGGAGCAGGATCCAAATACAGAGACTTATTTCTATGTAGCACATATCTATTAATCCAATTGTGAAAGAAAGCAAGCTTCATGGGGAGTTTATCCACGCTAGCTTTTACTTTAGAAAGGCTTTGAACCAACTTCGCTTTTACTTTGAAAGTGTTTGAACACACTTCCCTTTCAAACAGCCCAGAAACCTCTAAGGGCAGCTCTGCAGCCAGAATACTGACAGTGCAGCTCTGGATCCTGACAGTGCAAGTCTGCAGCAAGACCCCTCTCAAGTTAAGGTATGGAAAAGTCTTCAAAGCTCTTTCTTAGTTTTTTTTTTTTTTTTTATTCACATATATTCACATATATTCACAAAAAGGTCAGAAAAATCTTGTCACACACATGGGGTGAACAGCCTTAAAGAGCACACCAACAACTAATCTAGAAGTTCAGAAAAGAACCCAGAAATACATATAAAGAACAGAAGACTTTCCTTGACTGAGTTACTTCAGTTTTAACAGCCTGAAAGAACTATGTCAAAACCCTATTCATGGGATTGATTAAAACCAGAAACCACAAGTGACCAAGATTAATGCAAAAGCCAGTTATCAGAAAAGCTTAATTGCAACTGTTTATGATACTGGGGCTCAAACAGCCATCAGGTTTAATGGGAAATTACTTTTCCAAATAGAGCTAGGATGTTTTGAACAGGTTAGAATTCCCTTAGTTAAACTTTTTCTAAAATTAAATTCAAATAATTGTAAGAAATCTGCAATGGGTAAGATACTGTTTTACTACACTTCTTTCACATATTTTTACAACCATAAAACACAGTTCTGTCAATAAACATTGATAATCATCAATATGGGGGAAAAAAGTGATTGTCTTACTGTCAGAGCTGTCCTGGTGAACCAGAATAACATCAGCTTTTTCTACAGACAGCTCATCAGGCTGCTGGGCAACATAAGCTCTGATACACTGCATCTGTGCTGACTCTGATAGGAAAAAAAACACAGAAGGTTAAACGTCAGGATTAGAATGAGCTGACTGAATCTATGGAATACCAACTTCGACTGTTTGTTGTGACACACTGTGTTTAATTAGCATTCTCTGGATTGTTTTTGCTTGATTTCTAAGTTTTGTTTTCTGTATTTATTCTATTGCATGAAGAGAGAGGCGGAAATCACAGCCTGACAGACCCAGTTTTACCTGATTAACAGTCTACTCAATTAGCCAGAGAACTGCTACAAAATACATGAGGTTTCTTTTTCATAAAGATTCTCTAAACAGAAATAGTCAGACAATAAAAAAATACAATTTAAATACATTTATTTAAATTTCATTTATTTAAAATTGAAGATTTTCATTATTTGAATCCATTATTTCTATAGATAATTATTTTTCCCTTGTATTTTACATATAACGAAATATCTACCTTGTTTAAACAATTAACAAAAAATGCCCAAATAACTTTAACTAATGAAAAAAAATAATGAGATTTTTTTATTATTTCATACAAATTAGCAGCTGTTTATCCACTAGGGGGTGGTAAAATGCAACATCAGATATACTCAAAGGGGATTTTCATTGAAATTTTTTGTCTTAGGTTACATGAGGTCAAATAAGATCAGTCAGATTGACTTAAAGAAATACTTTTTTTCAGCTTTTACTGTCATTACACTGTAGCAACAAAATAAACTCTCTGTGTTTAACCCATCCCCTTTGGTAGCAATGGGCTGCCATTGTGTGGCGCCCGGGGAGCAGTGTGGGGTTAAGGGTTGTTTGCTCAGGGACCCAGAGTCCATTTTGTGGGAGTGGGGCTCGACTCAAAACCTCTGGATTCCAAGCGCAATGCCCTAACCACTAGGCCGCCACTCCCCATACAGAATCTAAAACACCTATAACAGGAAGGAAACATTTTTCAATCCATGAAGCTATCAGTGTCTGCTATCTGCTGTAATTCATGTCTACCAATCAGTCATATGCCCCTTTTACAACTCATATTAGTTTTAAATTGGTGTTCCTTTGCATCACAGGTTTTATATTCATTCATTGTAATGGCACTTTGAACAAACCAATGAGTTTGAGTAGCAAAATCATTTTTAAATCTTACTCGAGTAAATAAAATAAATCAAATTTTCAAGTAATATTCAAATTTAATAAGAGGCAGCTGTTGTGGATAACACTTACTTTCCGCTGTAGAGAAATCCAGTTGGGGATTGGTCCTGGAGACGGCAGATATCCAGCGCAGCTTATCACTCCTAATTGTAAAAAAAACAAATGTGTAAAAAAAATGTATAAATGCTAAAATTGAAATGCCATGGAAACCAAACGGAAGCTGTCTCTCACTGTGTCTCTGTCCGTAGCAGCAGAGATCTCTGTGACATGTGTAAGCGGAAGCTGTTCTTCTGTAGAGTCTGGATTTTGACACGAAAGTCTTCTGTACGCAATTCATTTACAGGACAATGGTCAATGACGGTAAATCTCCCTCCTCTGCGAAAAGCACACAGAAAAAGAAACAAATGACACATGCAGCGGAAGAGAAAGGATGAGATAAGACCAAACAGATGACGAACCAAGACGAAAGATATGTGGAAAACAGGAAATAGCTGATGGTAACGGTGATACAATATGATGGAAGCACAAAATAACCTGTTTGCTGACTCACTCTTTTTGTAGAGAGACTAACAAGTAGTCATTGAAGAGATGTAAGTAAATGGTTCTGTCGGATTGCTTTAGAGAGAAATCCATTAGTTCAGTTACTGGACCTTCTCGCACCAGTCGCCTTTTCTGACTGATGAGAGGAAGAGTCTGAAACATAACCAGAGAGCAAATGAAAATAGATTAGTTTGTTATTAATTAAGCATCTGTGTAGATTTACTAGGGTCTATTAAATAATTACCGTTGGTTAACAAAGGCTCTAAATCAGGGGTCAACAACCTTTTTAAGGCTGAGTCAAAGGAAGGGCTACCAATACTGACCTATGAACTGGAGGGCTTGGCGTTCACCTAAACTTCTTATAAAATCAACATATTTTAACTTTTTTCTTTAAATTTCTAATTTTCTTTCAGATATTATTACTTTAAAATCTTTTTAAATGTTTAAATGCTATATATGATTAACATGATGAAATGTTCTATAAATGAATAAAAAAACAACAGCAACAGAACAAAGTAAAATATCAAAACAGGGAAGAGTAATCATGTGGCAGTCTGAAGGTTCTGAGTCTTATTCATTTTTTTCCAAAGAACATTTGGAAGACAGTTCACCTGAAGCTTACTTCACGGTTAGAATATATAAATGTAGTGCATTTAACTTTACACTTAGGCCAGAACATACCGGTTACGTACGACTTTTTAATCTCTGATCCGATTTCTTTTCCATATCACACTGACTGTCTATAGAGAGGCTCCGACTACGCAGGGGGGGCAGATCTGCTAAGATTTTTTTTCCACTTCTGTCTCTGTGCTATACACAAATTAAAACAAGTTCCCACTTGACTTGGACAGATTATGAAAAGTTATTAAAAAAAAACAAAATAAAAAAAAACACCGGCGCATTCTATAAAGCAAAGCCCCACTCAATGAGTCTGTGCAGCATCTCAAACCAGATCAAATAGAGAATGTTCATTTGCCTATATTAAAAACATAATGACATTTACGTCTGAAGAAAATAAAAAAAAAAGCAAAAAACTCCATGGGGCGGTTTATTTGCTGACTGAGGCAGAGAGAGGTGATTCTTAGCGACCTTACCTGCTCTGTCTGTCCCTCGTTATTTTGTTTTTTCGAGGCTCAAAGTGGATCACTCTTTTACACTATCCATTTTTTCTCCTCCTGAAGTATTTTCTTTTTTTCCGAGGAGATTGATAAACTGCGTTTTCTGTCCCTCATTGTTTTTGTGAGGCTCGAAGAGGATCACTACTTGATCTGTTTTCTGTCTTGAACTCCTATTGATGGTAAAGTCATATTTTTTTATGTTTTATTGGTTAATTTTGCACTAGTCTTTTCCGTTTGCTTTGTATGCCCTGTGCGATTCCGAAACTGACTCTTTTCCCTGTGCAACTACAGATTTTATTTTCTGTTTTCCCCAAAGGAGATGCGTTTTACTTTGTAAATGTGTCTCTTCCTGTCAGACCCTTGAAATTGCAGCTGAATTCAGCGTAGTCCCACTAAAATAGAAATTGTGTCAGGTTTGATATTCCCATTAAGTTTCAATGAGCACTAATGCCACGACCTCGTCCGATTTTCTGTCAGATCGGACGCAAAATTGGATTCGGTGTGTTCTATCCTTTAACCTTTCTTGGCAGCAGTTGTAAATTTGATGAATCAAAAGAAAAGTAACTCATAATGGAAAAAAAATCACGCAAATGTCAACTCAATACATGGATATGATGATTAAAACAATCTAGATCCAGTGATTAGTCATTGCTCACCTTGCAATCCACAAATTCCACTCTACCACTGAGAGACACCAGAGACTCAATGGTTTTCATTTCTGTGATGCTGTCGTTGCTTTCTTGAATAATCTAAAACAGAAAAAACACAAAGACCTTTGCACTGTTCTTTCATTATGTAAAATACTGTGTCTGTGTAAATATGTAGTTGAAAAACTGAGGTTCTGGTACCTTCTCCAGCTTCTTTAAAGCTTTAATAGTGTTTTCTGCCTCAACAGTTCCAGGAGTTGTTCTTTTTAGAATATTCTGGACAAAAAAAATTGATGTGGATCAGATAAAAAGAAAGTAAAACATCTAGATCAGTTGTAACCACAATTCAATGACCTTTGTTTACCTGGACCAGCAGCTTAATTCTGGTAATCCTTTGGAAGGGAAGTACCAGGAAGGATCGGAGAGGAAGCCTCTGACAAACAGTGCTCTTCTCTAAGTTGTCCACAACCCGCTTGAAGTTAGGATTGTCATTCCTGAAAACAAAATATCATAATTGACTCCATTTTATGGAATAATATCTAATCTAAAAGATGATTTTCAAAGCATCATAAAACTTTTTACATGAGTCTTTGGTAGGTGGCGTCCTGATACGACTGGTTGGTGAGGTAGGGCACATAAACCTTTCTAAAGCGCTGACAATGGCGAGCAATTATGTCGCAAACCGTAAAGTGCAAAACATCTGATTCCATGCGCTCCTCCAGCTTTGATAAAAACCTGGAACCAAAATGATACAAAAAACAAAAAACATCTTTGAATACATTTTTATCACAATAGCTCTTTTGCAAAAACAAAGATTTGATACAACCAAAATATTGCATGCTTCAAAGTTTAAAGCATCAAAATGCATCAGTAGATAAGTATAAAACTTGATCTACAACAGTGTTGAAAAAATCAGACCTGTGGCTGATGGCCCGAACTTCAGTCAGACGGGAGAAAAGCCAGTTCTTATCCTGATTGGTCAGCAGCTTCTCAAGCTCTTTGTTCTTGACAAACTGTTCAACAACTATGTCCAAACTTCTGCAGTAGGAGGCCTCTGAGGTCACCACTTCAAATCTCACCTTGAATACAGAAATGAAATAAAACAGTTAATGATATCGAAAAGCTTAAAAGAAGAAAATGACAGCTAGAATTTTAAAAAAGTGTAAATTCTGACTTCACAACACTTCAAAAGGAAGACTTATCAACTGCCTTTTAAAGAAACTGAAATATTGCTCTGAGTAATGTAACAAAATCTTCTGGCCAGAGATACTGCCAATAAAACAGTAGATCAGTTGAAGGGTTTTCTGCAATGTGTTAAGTTCATATATTTGTGTGAATTCAGGAGTCTGAGGTGTGGTGCTACAAGTATGAGCAAGCACAAGGAAGTGAATCCTAAAAAGAAAGTAAGCAGAGTCTACGATTGCACCACGAGTATAAGAGCATTTCAGACTGGGACAAAAAGATTTATAATGTAGCAAGGAGAATAATATATCAGGGATATTATTATTTAGTAGTTATAATTTCCCACTGTGGCAAACATTTTGAAAATATTAATTGAAAAGATGTGCAAAACTGGAAAAACAAGGCTGCATTTGGACAACAGAAAAAGAAACATCTCAAAATAGAACATCAACCCTGAACTTATCATAATAATTCAATTTAAAAGGAAAAGTTTGCCTATGAAAAACAAAGCTGCAGTGCCAAAAACCCTTCAACCGGCTTCACGATCATCTGAACTGGTGATTTCTCTTGTAGCTTGAGCTCTGATTTTCACCAAACTTTCTCCTTCACATTGATCCTTCCAGTAAATAACCTCAACGACATAGCTCTTATGCAACCATAACCATAAAGATGGTATCAGTGACCAATTCCTAGACACTTGAAAAGTCACCAGTACTCCCCGTGATTGTGTAAGTATATGATGTAAGAATGAATATTTCCATATGTAAAATTGTTATTTGTTTTGATATTATTTATTAATTTATCTTTCTTCTATAGCTGTAACCCACATCCAGCAAAAAGAGAAATAAACACATATATCTCTTCCTTTGAAAACAATAACTGTGTTTCATTTTTTTAATCAGATTGTAAAAAATAAGATAATAATACACATTATTTCTTTATATATATATATATATATATATATATATATATATATATATAAGATTATTATTTTTGAAAAAAGCCACTCTAACAGGTAAAATAATGGTTTGTCTATCTCAATGACATAAAATCCATGTAGAGTCTTTGTTTGTGGAAGTTGAAAGGCCAATGATTGGTTCACGCTACAAATAGTATTGTTATTTGCTGAAAGGCAGCTGTATGATGCAAAGTAGACTTTTATTCATATTTGTTGGATCCATATATGAAAAGGAATTTACAAGCCCGGGAGTCTACAATTAAAAAAAGACAGGCAGTGTCTGGAGTTTTTAGTCTCATGAGTCAGTTGTTTCCAGTAAACTTCCACGTAAAAGCCCAGATAACTATTTGTTGATTCAATTCTTAAAACTATCTAAATTAAGTATGAAGAACAATTAGATTGAACAAGCTCAAAACTTAAGAAAATCACAATTAAGAAGCCCTATTTCCTCTAGACAAGAACACTTGTAATTTAATGTTAATCGTGTCTTGTATATGTGGTAATTTATTTACCTCTTGCAGTCGCCTCTGATCCTCTGTGAGCCTCTCCAGCTCGGGGCTGTTCCTCACACCAGGCAGTTCCCTCCAGAGTAAGGACTGTGTGAGCGAGACCGATAAACTTGGAGAGGAGGCCCTGCGTTCGTTCTTAGAGTGCTCTGGAAGAGGCAGGGTTTGGGGACAGTTGTGGGGTGTGGTGTGGGACAGGGAGTGAGGGTGTGGGACAGGTGGTAAAGGAGGAAGGGGTCTACGGGATGGTGTAGGTGAAGCCAATGGAGAGCGACTGTTTGAATCATTCCCTGAGAGGGTATCAGAGCGAGACTGACGCAGGATCTCAAAGTTCTGTGTCTCCTCGTTGTACTGCTGGTAGAGCTGAGGACGATCTGAGCGAACCAGAGAAAGCAAAGGAAGTTAGATCGATATAGACAAATAACGATATCCTGAAAGTTATTCAACAAACACGTTTTTTTAACTTGAAATAATAAACAGGGGCAGCTTTTTCTATAATTGCCCTACTCTCTCCTGCCCCAAAAGAGACCATTTTATGAATAATCTATAAGACAAATGTGGAGTATTAGTATTGCTCTAGAGTCTAAAAAGTTAGTTTAGTAATATTTTGATTAGTCTATACATAGCTGTCCTATATTGTGTGTCTAAAACGTACCTAATGCCAATGAAGCATTGAAAATGTTTTCTGTGTTTTACTACTAGAATAAGTGTTCTGGAAATCTCCAGTTGTGTTTTAACTAATCCTCTTTTCACAGTTTGTTTCAGCTGTCTGACTAGTCTATGTATGCGTAATTTAGAGTTAGCATCATCAGCCACGAGTGTGTAGCAGGATTTCAGTGTCTTGTTTAAGTCATGCATTCCAAAATAGGGGTAGATTGGCAGCCCAATGCATCCTCAAGGGGATGGGTTAAATGCAGAGGTACATTTCTCCAATATGAGATCAATAAAGTTCCATCAAAAAAAATAAATAAAAATAAATAGATAATAATCCAGTAAAAACTCTGTAAATAGAGCTAAAGATTCATGAAAATGGTATTGAAAATGAGAAGGACTATAAATTTATAATTCGTACATAACATATCGGAATGCCAAGACACCGCTGCAGCTGAGCGCTTGCAGAAACCTGCAGGGGCTTGCACAAACTACTTTATAAACAGATCAAGCACAAACACATTCCTGCATCAGCCATGTGAACCTGTAGACATTTCAGATTGTTTAAAACACTAGTTTATAGAGTGGTTTAAACTGAACTGTAAAATGACACAGATTTTGACTTTGCTTGTGTATAAGGGTAGAGAATTCAAGCTAATATGAAGTGATTACGGGATAAACACTCACTGTCTTTGTATTTACACAGAAATGTGACTCACACACTCTGAGGGGAAATGCTCGACTGTGTCACCATTTCCCTAATCAGAGTCAGATCTAATGTGGTCTTCAGAACTGTGACTTTACTAACTGTTTATTTTAATCCTAAATCTCTTGATTTACCCTAAATAATTTTTCAACTGAGAAAAATAAAGAAGATAATAGACCTGTTAAATACTCTTAAAATGTGCATAATATGAATAAATTAAATTCAAACTGCAACTGAGATACTCACTATAAAAACTTGATTTCCTAGTATGTCTTCCAATGGAGTTTAAAACATTCCTGTAAGTGAAAAGAAGTAAAAAAAAGAAAGAACATTTTAATGCAGTGCATTAAAAGCAGAACAGAACTAATTCAAGGCTTGTGGGATAATTCATGCAGGGTTAAAATTATAAATTATTTAAAAATAATACTTTAAATGTTGTTATTTTTTTGACAAAAATATAATTGAACAATTTTAAGGATGTTGTACTCACTTTAGGTCCACCTCTCCCCAGCTTTTACTCCGGAAATCATCATCTAGAATAAGAAAATATCCATTTGTGGTGGAATTATAAAAAAGCATTTTAAGTGATAAGAAGGCTTTAAAAATCAAAATAAATAAAACTTGTAATAAATATGAAATAAGTTAAAATCAAATAGATTGAAAATAGATTAAAGTGTTTCTTAAACCATGCTACTCTTGTGTCTGAAGAGATCATTGATGTGTTGCCCCTTTTAAATCACACCTGTGGGTATTTCCTAGCTTTCCCCACCCCTGCTACTTTCCACCCAGTGATTATGATCACAACACTGACGTAGTTTCACAATTTTATAAAGAACTCAATATCTACGTAGCAGAGGACTGCTAAATATACAAAGAAGCAGATGACGGCTTTGAGATTAGGATTGGTGTGACAAGCAGTGAATGTCAATCAGATAGGGAAAAATAAGAAGCAAAAGACTTTGAATAAAATCAGGAAGTGTGTTTGGATTTTATTTGAAATTTAGAAAGCAATTATATTTTAAAAGTTTGTGTTATGCAAGTGATCAACCCCAACTGGAGGCCGAAACGAAAAATATGAGGGGATTTTGCAAATTTTAGAAGGATTAATGGATTGAAGTAGATGTCTCCATTTTTCCCCAGTCGGTATTCTGTCTTTACCTGTTAGAAAAAATATTCTGGTTCTGCGATCTCTTCCAACACCTTCTTCTTCGTCGGTCTCCATATCAACAAATTCTCCTTTTCGTCTCTCTTTGGTCTTACGGATCCCCATTCTTCGTAAACGGATTTCAGGACCGAAGTCCCGAAAGCTGCAAGAGCTCTTTACCGTCATCTCTCTAGTGTCAGTCATCTCATCCTCTAGGTTTTCCTCTCCACCTTGCCCCATCATCTCCTGGCTCTCACCATGTCCAGGGAGAGTCAGGAGGTCAGACGAAGAGTTGTAATTGAGAATGGGACAGCTACTGCCCTTGTAAAGAGAGTTGCTCACACTTAGATACTCATCCACCTCCCTTTCTCTATCTGCTTCTTCAACCATTTCTGCTAAATCAGCTAGATCTGTCTCCTCAGTTTGAGTTGCATCAGTCCTTTGCTCCACCATATCATTACTGTTTAACAGTATGTCAGAATGAGTGTAAGTGGGTGTTGCAACGTGCATAGCTTTAAACTGGTCAGCATGCATGTTGCCTTTGTTGTGCCCCATACCTCTAAAATCCATGAAGTCGTAATCCTCATCTTCCTCCTGCTCTGTCTCTGATTGCTGATCTTCTGTTGTCAGAGTCAGAACAGGCAAATTTACACTCTTGCGCTTAGGCTCCTCTTCATGTGTGCTGTTATCAGCATGCCTAACAGTCTGGCTTTCTTCCACTTCTGAGCTTGGTTCATCCTCTGTTTGCTCTCCAGAGTGTCCAAGGATCTCACGAACTACACTTGTGGCCCATTTAAGGTGGGGGGCTTGGGAACGCCGCTTAGGCATCTCGGATTCGCTCCATGTTCCACTCATTCGGATCCGAAAAGCCTCCAACTCCTCTGGACTCATTGCCTCCAACACCTCTGGGCTTATTGCCTGAGTGTTTTTATCATTAAGGAAATGTTGCATCTCCTCTAAACTGCCATTTGGAGGGATATAAGCACCAGAGTTAGTTTTATTCTTCTCTCTCCATCGTTCAAGGAGTCTTTCAGTCTGAGAGTCTCTTTTCTTTGTCCCCATATCATTGGTAGGTAGCTCTTTTTTCATTATCTCTTCAACTTCTATGTCTTGAAGATCCACGGGTGCTCCGCAACAAAATTCTCCCTCTGTTTGTTCTTCTGTAGAGAGGCTCCCTCCCCTTGGTGTGCTGTAGCCATTTCCTGCACCCTGACTTTCAGTAAGTAGTTTCTTCTCCCTTCTCATTGATGATGACGGCAGGTCATGCTGTGTACTACGTCTGTCCTCACCACTATTCCAATTATGATTTCTTATATTTGGGTGAACTATTCCGGCACCTCCCTCGTCCTCATCTTGTGACAGTGACAACTCACTGGTTTCTGACTGGGAAGAAGTTTGCCCAATCTTACAGAGGATTAACTTTTTTTCCCTCTCTTGCTGCTCCACATTAATCACTTCCTCATTCTCTGCTGTTGATTCCAGTTCTCTTTTGTTTGAATTTTCAGGTTTACTGAATTTCCGATGGTTCCTTAACTTCTGCTCCCTCTCATCCCTATCCTCTCCACCACTAGATAGAGTCACATTGCTATCCTCCGAAGAAAGCATTCTGTCTCTGTCTGGATTCCAGCTGCCGTCACTTCCCCCTCCGCTCCAAGAGTCACTCCCACACTCCTCCTCTGTCCCACTCTCAATGTTATTTAACAAATTTTCTCCCTTGCAAACCTCAGTCCAGCTTTGCGTTTTCCCTCCAGCACTATTTGGCAGTTGTTCCTTCCCCTGACCAAAGGTTTCACTCGAGATTTCATTGTCTTCTTCTTCATCTATACTCACTCCCTCAGAGTCTTCATTGTACTCTCTCCTCTCCAAATGCCTTTCTCTACTCTTGTATCTCTCATCTGGATCTGCTTGTAATAGCCTCACATCTCTCTCCCTCTCCCCTTCTGTGTGTGACTTAATATCCCGTTGTTCTACTCTTCTATCCTCTTCCTGCCTTGGTCGGGTCTTGTCCTTCTGTGGCTCTAACCACATTTGTCTCTTCTCTGAACCAGAAGTAGTGGTTTCATCCCTGTCTAACCTCTCACTTTTTACAAGTCGCCTTTGATTTTTCTCATCTGCCTGCCGAGGATCCATTTTAGACTCTTCAGCAACACTCCACCCTTTTCTTTGCTCCCTCTCAAAGTCCCTTCTGTACCTCACCTTGCTATCCCCCTCAATGCTCCATCCTCTACTATTTAGGTCTTGTGGTGGTACCCTTGGAGAAGAATCGCTCAAGGATCTGTTGCTTCTGTCTGCCTTTTCATCCTCATGCCTGTTTTTTCTCTCTTTCTCTCTCCTCTCAGTTCTATTTTGATAGTATTCCCTCCTGCCATCAGCTCCAATCTCTCGCCATATTTCCTTCTCTCTGTTCATTGGTTTCTCTGGTCTCTCTGGCCTCCCTCCATCCCCGTGCACTTCCCAACTATCCTTTTCTCTCCTTCTGTATCTTTCTTCTTTGTATTTATCCTGGTATCCATCCTTATCCCTGTCCTGTGGCACTCTGGTTTTACAGAACTCCTCACTCCTGCTGAACTCCCCTCTCTTTCTGTCCCTCATTCTTTCCTTGATTTCCAACTGTCTATCATCAGTATCTCCTTCACTCCTGGCATCTCTCCTTGGTGTTCGCTCTCTTCTTTCTCTGTTTATTTCTCTTTCTGGCCTCCTCTCCGGAGAATATCTTTCAGCCTCTCTCATATCCATGACAGGTCTGAGCTTTTCTCTTTTTCTACATGCATCCCTATCTCTCCTATCCATGTCCCTTTCTACTGTCCTCTCTTGAAACTCAACTCCAGACACCTTATATCTTTCTCTCCTCTGTGTTCTGATATCTTCTTCTGGTCTCCTTCCTTCTTCTATTGCTCTGCTTTGGATCTCATCTCTCTCTCTTTCATGACGCCTTCTATCTTTCTTTCTATCTGTCTTCCAGTCATCCACCTGCTCTCTTTTGGGTCGATCTCTCTGCCTCATTTCTGCATCTTCTCCAATCATTCTCCTGCCAGTATTTCTGTCTACCTTTCTCTCTCTGGGATATGTACCGCCTTTGTTATTCCTTTTCTTCACAACTCGTTCACTCTGAGTAATCTCTTCAGTTGACAGGGGCCTGCCATGTCTGTCTCTGATGTAGGCTTGCCCCAATTCCCCATCTTGCCGCTCTCTAACACAAGGAGTTCCGTCTCTGTCTGATGGTCGCTCTTGGCTGACCTTTTCTCCATCCCTCATTTTGTCTCTTGTTTTCTGAGTTTCGGCTTCCTTGCTCCTAGTTTTACTTGGATTGCTGTCTCCTCGATGGAAGATGCCCCTCATTCCAGAAAAAGGACTTTGGTCCCGAAAGACTTTTCCACCAGAAAGAAGCTTGTCCATCGCTGTAAGGCTAGAAAGAGTGTAACAGATGTTAGAAATTGGCTTTTTGGTTTTTATTGCACAATAAATTGAACAGCCTAGAACATGGTAGTAGTTGTCAGTAGTTAGTACAGATCAAGCATTGAGAATAAGCTCAAATACAACATCCAGAAATACTGCAAACCTTTAGAAAGTGTTCAGTCTGAAACTCTGATATGAATCTAATTGCTAAACTTAAAACTACATCAAAAGTCTGTGCTTTCATTTTTCTATAAATTGCTTTACATTTTTTTCCAGCAAAAAAAAAATAAAATAATTTGACAGCCAATATTACAGGAGAAAGTGAAAAAACATTGCAGAGGGAGGACACCCTTTAACACCTAAGTAAGAATGCAGCACTGCCCTGCAAGGCATGCAACATACCACAAGAAACCTTCCAAAGAGTAGGGGCCCATGACACATAGGCAAGGCATGTAGCATTCAAACTAAAACTGAATTAAGTATGAAATCGGTCTTCCAATTACAGAAATGTTAAAGAAGAGAGTAATAATACAGTAACTCACCTGAAGGTGTGCCTTGGGGAGATGTGGTCTTTCCCCTCTGCTCCAATTCAGCTCAAAAGCACTGGATTGCACAACATATTTTTTTTCCCTTGTGCTGACATTATCTGGGTGACAGAGCAATGGCTACTTGTTCTTCAAAATAAATCTAAGTAGCTTTTCTGCCTTTTTCCTTTCTCCTTGGTTGTTTTTACTCTTCTGAAATGTTCATGTTTACGCCTGAATCCTCCTTGCTTTTTCTTCTCTTGCTGCCTCTTGCTTTCTACCCCCCCCACCTCTCCTCCTTCCTCAAATTCCCAAACAAGTCTCAACAGATTGACACTTATCTCTTCCCTCCTCTTTGTCTTTGTCTTGTCTTCACAGTTGCTGTGGCGTTCCACAAGGAGATTCTCTCACAGGCAAAAATATTTGGTGTGTCCACTACTGCTGTCCCCAGTGTGTGTGGACCTCACCTCCGGCAACAAAACAAAACAAAAACAAATTCAGAATCCTCTCCTCTCTCCTCTGTTCCCCTATTCTTTCTCAGAGCACAGGAAGTACACCTCCTTGCCGTGTCTCCATGATTGGTAGAGACGCAAGGGCCGGGTGTGTCTACCAAACAAGCATAGCCAAGGTAAGGGTTGTGATAAAACAAGGAAGGCAAGGGGGAAGGGAGAAAGAAAGTGAAGAGTGAGAAAATACAATTACAAACAGGAAAACTTGTGGTGGGAGGAAAAGAAAAAAAGAAAAAGTTCCCTTCAGAGGTTTATGTGCAGTAGAGGAAGGGAAACCAAATAATTTTCTTCCCTTAGCTTTTAAAAAAACACACAGATGAAGCAATCACAGGGAAAAGCAGGCAGGGAGGGGCAGAGGCAAGTGGCAGTAAATGATTTGTGTAACAATGGCTGTGATGATTAGGCAGCCAGGGAACTTAGATTAAAAGGTTAGGAAAGACCTAACTTCATCAATGACAATAAGAACAAGAAATGTGCTTGTCTCTTTTTTTAATGCTCTTTGGTCAGGTATTGACTCAAAGCTAATGCAAATATATCATCCCCCTTGGAAACTTGGAAACCAAGTCCAGCGGATAATTTTTTTTAATTTTTACGGAATGACTATGACCTGGATGACTGAGAATCTTCATCAGCATATCCTCCCCCCTTTTTGATGAATTTCTTGATGCTTGGGCTTGTTTAATTTAAATATTAAAAGAAAATTAGAAAATAGAACTTGATTAATCTCACAATGGAGAAATGAAGTCTCTGCATTCAACCCATCCCCTTGGTGAGCAGTGGGCGGCCACTGTGCGGCGCCCTGGGAGCAGTGTGGGGTTAAGGGTCTTGCTCAGAGACCCAGAGTGCAGGCTTTAGGGATTGAACTGGGTACTTGCAACCTTCTCAGAGCACAAGTGCACTTCTCTAACCCCTAGGCCAACACTCCCCCAAAGGAAAAAAAGAGCACAAACCTGGTGTGATTCCTTCACAACGTGGGCATATGCTTACAACTCTTGTCCAATGGGTATTCACCCCACAAGACCATAAATAAACAAGAAAATATGTTTTCACAGGTAAGTTCTAGATGGCATGAATTCAGGGCTATAACATCAAGGCAGGGGGCTGTTGGCTATTTTATGACATGACATGCCTTTTGAACCCTTAAGGGGTGAATAAAATGCTTTGGCAGGTTGGATTCTGCCCACGGGCCCCAAGTTTGACACCAAGACCTAAAGTCTCTACCAAGTTTCTGTATGCACCTCATTGATCTTGTCATCAACTTGGACCAGGATCCCTGTTGCTGATAAGATAAACAATCCCACTGCATGATGCTTTACCAACATGTTTCATAGTCTGGTTGGCTAAAGAGGGGGATACATTTTTGTCCATATGTGACGTTTTGCGCGTAGTACAGTAAATGCAACTGCAGTCTAAAATGACTCAAAGACCATCTATGATTTCTTTGATTCATTCCCTATACTGTTTTTGGAAATCTGAAAACTGCACTTTTTCAGACCCTTTTACATATTTAAAATTGACAAGATTTATTTGACTAAACATTAAGTTCCCCAATCAACAATTTTCTTCATAGAATTCTGCAGCGTCTTCAGAGCTACTATGTAATAAACCCTCGGCATATCAGCTCAAGGACACCTAGAATTTTTTCGGTAGTTTTGCAGTTGCATCGCACTCTTGTTTTTTTATAAATTGGTTGCACTCTAAGAGACATTTAAAACTTGCGATATTGTTTTGTAACCTAACTATGCTTTACTCACTTAACTATACATCTCAATAGCTTTATCTCAACTGTCAGCTGTGTTTTTCAGGTTTTATTTCTAAATATTTTTCCAGTAATCTATAAATCTTCACAATCTTCCTTTTCTTTGTGTTGATCTATTACATAAGATATCAATAAAATGTTAACCAATGAGAGCAATTTCAAATGGAAAAAAAGGTTCAAGAAGTATGAATAGTGACATGAGGCACAATATTCACGTAAAAACTTTAAATGAAACTAAAGTTTGCTTGCATTTATAAAGAAGACATAATCAGTTACACTCTTTGAATTTCTCAAACACAGTTCCACACCTCTAGGCGGTTACAAGGTCCAACAGCTGATTCAGTTATATTATTTTTGGTTCACCTGTTCATAACCTTTGCTCAGTTTTATTGTATATCCTGTTACGTTGCTCGTACCATGCTTAAAATCAGTTTATGATTTACCATGATTCCCTTCAAATCAATAAGTGCAACGCCTTGCCTAATAGTGAGAGGTTTCAAATTGTAATGAATTAGTTTTGCTAGCTATTACTATATTCAATAATAACTCTAATAAATCCATCCATCCATCCATCCATCCATTATCTTACACGCTTGTCCCAATTGGGGTCGCGAGGGGTGCTGGTGCCTATCTCCAGCAGTCAATGGGCGAGAGGCGGGGTACACCCTGGACAGGTTGCCAGTCCATCGCAGGGCAACACAGAGACACACAGGACAAACAACCATTCACACACACTCACACCTAAGGACAATTTAGAGAAGCCAACTCTAATAAATAAATCAAATAAAAAAATCCTTGATAACTTTAAGAGATTCAAATGGTAGTAAATGTTAAATATTTGAACCTTTGTTAAAATCTAAATTTATTACATTGAAAAATCTTTTTTTAACTATTGTGGTATTGGTTTTTATCTAATTTTCATTTAAATATTTTACTTAGTTATTCTGTTCATTCAAAACTTGTTCAAGCTGTCATTACAGCTGACAAATAAACCCCATCATCTGGTTAACTCATTCTGCATCAGCAGAGCATCACCTGGTTTCTTTCTGTGTTAACCTGCCCTATGGCTTTTATTGATGACATTCATAGATAAAATTATTACTTAATCTAAAGTTACTCAGGAATATATCTAGTAAATAAACACTGATAGACTCATTCATATTTAACACACCATTACAGTTTTTCTAATGTTGCATAATTTTTTTCCAATTAACAAGAAACAGACTCCAGTTAAACAATTCCAATTCTTTTGAAATTACTACATGTGTATTTTGACCCTTGATAATTAAAAGTATTTGGTTTATGATTTAAGGAAATTGTATATTTCTGTGTACCATACGTCTAAGTGTAGCACCTTCTACCAATTCCCTCTTACATGTAAAATAAAGCTTTTTGTGATTCTGAAAATCAGTGTTTGCTGTCTTGCTTGAATTGTTACTTTTAGGTATATAGGCTACTACTAACATCTACTTGTCACTGAAATATATTTTCCATTACTATGAAATTATTTTGATCCGTTTTATTTTGAAACCATAGGTAAAATATATCTTCTGCATAAAAGTGACATGTTATTTTTGTAGTATTAATCATCACATTTAAACATAAGGTATTTTTAAGATGACAAACCCTTTATAGGTTACATTTAATGGTTAATGTTCAGTTCTATATTGACTAAATACAATAAGATTGTTTTACAAGTAAAAAGAACAAAGTGCTATTTAATGCAAAAATTCTGCTGTTTGCCTTTGAGTGGTTTGTTAAGGGTCTGCCCTTCTCCTCCTTAATCTTGTCTTTTTATTGATCTTGCAGTTTGCAAACTGGGTCGTTGACTCAATACAAAAGGGAATTCCACTGTTCTTGTGTGATTAAACTCCAAAGAGGTTAAAAGTGGGTATTTTGTTCAGATTAATGTTGATAAGTGAGAACCAGTAAATACAGCTGACTAAAAAGCAGCCGTTGTTTTTAACCTTGTTGGAACATTGAAAAAGTGCTGATGCAATTGGAAAGAGTAAACTGGCCATACTGGTATCAGCGCTGAAAGCTTAAAGTAGATTCCCAAGCAGTTATCCACAGGCACACAGTGCTTTGAAGATGCAATCTAAAGCAGACCTGTCTCCTCTGATCCTTGGTATAAATTATGCTTTTTGTTCAGTAATCTTCTTTAACAACCACCTGAAGCTTTCTAAGAACAGTAGGATTTACTCTAAAGAACAAGTAGATTGTTTCCTACTAAGTAGGTGATTTCTTAAGAAACTTGTTTGCACTGGAGGAGGCTTAACAAAAAATGTAGACCACACTTTTCACTTTTAGATTTGTAAGAAAAATCATTCTTCACAAAAGCCGAATACAGTATCTCAACACAATAAAATTTTGGATTTGAACATGACAAAATGTGCAATGCTATACAGTACATGCATATAATTCCACCACCAGTTAATTGAGTACAATTGTTGATCTTTGAAACATGCTATTTTTATTAATGTTTCGATTTAATGAAAGGTTTCTTTGATTGTCTGGGTAGATTACAAAGTAATTTTTTGAAGAGAGTAATTCTACTCTGCTAGTTCATAATGTGGAAAGCTTTGAAAATGAGTGCATATTTGTCTGTTGCTAGTTAGATTAGTTCATGTACCTTGCAGACAAAGCTAGCCTGAAAATAAACCTTTCTAAAAGTGTATTAAAAAAACAAAAAGTTAGTTTGTCAGGGTCATAGCAGATGCTGCAACTTGATAATTTATTGTAATTAAAGATGTAAAAGGCCTCAAAAATTAATTTTCTGTCAACAGCTGAATCACAAAAAGCTGTTGATTTAATTTAGCAAACTAAACTGACCACAGATGGATAAAGTTTATCTACATGGAGTGTGACTAAAGTGATTCCACAAACAGATTTCTCTGACTAGGTGACTATGCTGGGTAACACAGGACAAAAGTATGGAGGCCCAATTCTGACAGAATTGTAAAAAAGAATACATAAATAAATACTAAATAAATAAATAACCACATATTTAATTTTCAAAATTGTTAAAATGGCCCTACATACAACAGACCCAGTCCAGTTTACTAAGAAATTAAAGAAATGAACCTGGACCAAAGTAAGGTGTCTAATTAAGTGACAGACTGCTGCACCCTAAATGCACCAGGGAGCGTTATCACGCATCCTTCCTCTCAGCAGCTGTAAGACTTTATAAGTCTAAATATCCATTACTGTAAAAATGTCCATAGCTGGATATTGGTTATTTATTCTACAGGTGCACAGTATTCATATTGTTAAAACAGTTTACAGTACATTATTTTATTGTACTGTAACTCTTCACTATTATTTCATTCTTATACACTTTCTAAGGT